GGCAAAAACTGGAGGTGGAAAATTCAGTTTCTGATTCATATCCAATGTATGTCCACTTGTTTTTTTCCTTGTTAAAACTGTCATGAGTGAAGTTGCAGTGTTCTCTCTGGTCTCTCTCTGGTCCCTAGTCTATCTGATGTCTCTCTGGTCTCTCTCTGGAATCTCTCTGGTTTCTCTCTGGTTTCTCTCTCTGGTCTCTCTCTCTGGTCCCTCTCTGGTCTCTCTCTGGTCTCTCTCTGGTGTCTCTCTGGTCTCTCTCTCTGGTCCCTCTCAGGTCTCTCAGTGTTTGTAATAGTCTGGTTGTCGAGGAGGTCCAATTTTCAAATTATTTCTGAATTACAGTTTGTACAGACGTCCTGTTCTTATCCTGTGAGTGAGTCTCGGGGATTTTGGCAAATTCTGCACAATTTATGAGAAAATGGAGCCCAGAAGCCAGACTAAACATATCACAATACTACCTGTGTAAAGCTAACACACGGACGGGCACATTATTTAGCGATTAGTCGTTAGCAACAAGGCTAATTGTTTGGGGTTGATAAGGGCATATTCGAAAGAAGAAAAAAGATCAAAGGAATGATTTGTAACTACGGTGTCTTTACTACAATAATAAAGAAGACACAGGAAGTTAGAAGCAAACTCTCAGACTGGACTCAACAGAAATGATTAAGTATCAGTACAAAAAAATGGACATTTCACATTTATGCAGAAAAACGCTAATGATTTTTATCTTAATCTGAAAAAATACAAAAATAAAGGTAGCCTAGAAAAAAACACATGGCATCAGATTTTTTTGGTTAATAAGTATGGATAAGGAAAAATATCCCTATGGTATAAAAATTGGAATAATGTAACTGATTAGGGGACTGGCCTCCTGCTGGGACTCCATGTAGCACAGGGACTAGCCTCCTGCTGGGACTCCATGTATCACAGGGACTAGCCTCCTGCTGGGACTCTGAGGAGCACAGGGACTAGCCTCCTGCTGGGACTCTGAGGAGCACAGGGACTGGCCTGCTGCTGGTCCCAGAGTCAGGACTAAACATGTGGAGGCAGTGATTCAGATTCAAGAATCTGGAACAATCTTCATGAAAATGTGAGACAAGCTTCTTCTCTGACAATGTTCAAGTCCAGGTTAAAAACTATTTTGCTGCAACAACTGAAGGATTTTATATTTTCATATTTGTTTTTATTCTTCTGTGATTATTTATGATGTTTTTTCCTTGTATTGTTTTGTTTGCCACTCTGAGTTGCCTTATGTATAAATTGTACTATACAAATAAACTTGTCATGTCATGTCTACGTGATGTGTGCTTCACGGTTTGCAGTTCCACATGTTTTAAAGTTGTTAAAAATATTCTTTTGTGACACATTTCTGTGCTGCTGCCTACAGAGCGTCTCATTATAAAGTTTACTGTACACTCAGAAATAGACAAAACAGGTATAAAGTTGTGGTTAAGTGTGAGGCTGTGATCTGCCGTTACCGAGGAGTGTGGTGCATGTGAATATGGATTTATATAACAGTGTCTCATTAGTTATAGTGACTTTAGGCTTCAACAGAAGATAATGAAACATGTTACAAAAGACAGATGCAGTGAAAGAACAGATTCAATTCAGATCAATTTTGATATTTCTGAGGACTTTATAAAACTGTCGATTCACCAACACAGATCAGAGAATCCAACACTAGAAATGCAAAGATGAAAAACACTGGTGGTTCTTGAGCAGCCATGTCCTTAAATGTCCTGGATCATCACCTCTGTCCTTAGATCCTCCTGCATCGACAAATCTAAAGAACCCTGTGGGAGAAAAGTGAGAAACCTCAGAGAGATCCGCTTGGAGGGAAGGATCTGCTCCCACAGATGGACGGGCACCAGGACTGAGGCTGTAGACCCAGGACTGAGGCTATAGAACCAGGACTGAGGCTGTAGACCCATGACGGAGGCTTTAGACCCAGGACTGAGGCTATAGACCCATGACGGAGGCTGTAGACCCAGGACTGACGCAGCTTCCAGGCGGGGGAGGGGGTGCAGCCATGGATCTATAATAATAACTGGATCGGGTATTACTAGCTTATAACTGTCCCAATCCTGTGCCCGTGGTACAGCAGACTAAATTCACGTGGGCTCCCCAGAAAAAAGTCCCATAGAACTTAGTGTAATTAGTGTAAATTAAAACAGCTCGACCTCAGCTGACAGAGAACCTACAGCTTTCATAAAGGTCGGATTTTGTGGGGATTTTAGTGTCCCTTGTCATCCTGAACGTTTTTTCTTCTTTAATTCTTCTTTTTTCTTTAAATGCCAATGAGAGCTGCCACCCAATGCTCATAGCACCAGTCCCTCACTGATCCTCTGCTGCTGCTCTGTCAGCTGTGAAACAGCCTTGGTCTTTCAGTGGGGCTTCAGGCAACATGGGGTTAAGTGTCTTGCCCAAGGCTCAAACCCACAACTTCCAGGCCCAAAGGCCAATGCTCTACCAACTGAGCTACTGTTGCCACACTTTTGGACCCTAATTAACGCAATTTTAATTCTACTTTTAATCACTGGTGGGTAATTTTGACTCAAGGACAGCACAAGGGCTAACCAGTAGACTCTTTTGGAGTCTACAAATTATGGTCTAGAAGAGTCTAAATGATCCAGGGGTGATCAAGTTAGGGAAAGTCATCAAAATTTGAAAAAACATATGCATATATTTAGGGTAACTGTTTTTATAATCTGTCATTTCTTGTAATTGTGTGTAACTTGCCTCTTGCCCAGGACTCCCTTAGAAAAACAGGTTCTCAATCTCACTGGGACTGGTTTCAAAAAGGTCAAATACTACTACTCTAGTTTCAATGCGACAACACCCCACTCAGGGATAGAACCCACACCCCTTCACCGTCCTCAGTCTCCCATCAGCTTAAACCCCAGAACTCATCAACTGCATTTGGAAACGTTTAAATAAACAGCTCTCAGCTCGTTCCGGCGCTTCACATAAACACAGCCACAAATCCTCTCCATCTTCATCATAATTAGCAGCAGACGAGCTGGATCTCTCTTTGTCATGCCACAATGGACTTAGCCTGATTTGGTTCCACTGATCCGCTCGGCTAATGGTGGTCCGCCGCCGCTGTCACCGCCGCCGCCGCTGCTGCGCACACATGGAATAATCCGGATTTTGTCAGATTAGCGATGAGCGAGGGTTGTGGGGGCCGAACGCAGGGACCAAAATATAAACAATATGTCAGCGCCCCACAGTCGATATTTGAAGAGGACAGAACGGCGTTATGGGGCACATCCTCTGACGTGTTTGTAATAAAGTCACGTTATGCAGAGTCCAGATGTGTCCACAGGGGGCGCTCTCTCAGATCGGCTGTGATAAAAAACATAGTAATAAAGCTTTGGTTTTATACAGCGCTTTTCTGCTTCACATGTCACTGTTCTCTCCAAACACAGAGGTGATAAACTACTCTCTCCTTCTCTCATCTTCTCTCTCCTTCTCTCATATTCTCTCTCTTTCTCTCGTCTTTTCTCTCCTCTCGTCTTTTCTCTCTTTCTCTCGTCTTCTCTCCTTCTCGCATCTTCTCTTTCTCTCGTCTTCTCTCCTTCTCTTGTCTTCTCTCTTTCTCTCCTTCTCTCATCTTCTCTCTCCTTCTCTCGTCTTCTCTCCTTCTCTCTACTCCTCTCGTCTTCTTTCTCCTCCTCTCCTTCTCTCGTCTTCTCTCCTTCTCTCGTCTTCTCTCCTTCTCTTGTCTTCTCTCTCCTTCTCTCTACTCCTCTCGTCTTCTTTCTCCTCCTCTCGTCTTCTCTCTCCTCTCTCTCTCCTCTCCTCCTCTCGTCTTCTCTCTCCTTCTCTCTACTCCTCTCGTCTTCTCTCTCCTTCTCTACTCCTCTCGTCTTCTCTCTTCTCCTCTCCTCCTCTTGTCTTCTCTCTCCCTTCTCTCTCCTCCTTTTGTCTTCTCTCTCCTCCTCTTGTCTTCTCTCTCCCTTCTCTCTCCTCCTCTCATCTTCTCTCTCCTCCTCTCCTCTCTCTCTCCTCCTCTCTGGACATTGTAGCCACAGACAGTCGTTGCCGCGGTGATGAAGCTGCAGTGGGTCCAGTGTTAGCAGATGTAAATCAGGTGCTGGTGAATGACACAGAATGTACGTTATTGGACATGTTTACAGCTCAGAGAGTCGGCGTGGGCCGGCGGCAGAACGGCGGCTCGGACGCACTGTTTAGCGCCACATAAATCACTGACAATTACATCGCATTATTTATTCCCCTCGTGCTCCATTATTCATGCTCTGGAGCCGGTCCCTGCGGCCATGCGAGCGGCGGCCATGTTTGGAAGGTCTGCCCTTTTCAGACTGTATGGGAAATAACATAGACTGTACTGTATATACATTAACAATGCTAATCTGCCCTCACGTTTCACAAAACTCCAAACACAAAACACTTTTCTAAAGATCACAACCTCACAGTCTCTTTTCAAAACCGACCCATCACACCATGACAGATTCTCAAAAGAAAACTCTGACACCACAATACCTCTTAAAGCCTGCAAAAATGTCAACACTACTGAGCATCATTAACCAAATTACCAAAAATATTTAAAACACAATTTTCAGAGTGTGAGACTGTTCTTTTTACAGTTTCACAACTGCCAGGATGCATTTGAGCAACCAGTTGCCTAAACATATTTAGTAAAACTACCCCTCACTTGCCACAACCACAATTCAGCTGTAAACACATCTCTGCTCATGCATCGTGAAGTTCATGTGATGCAAAACGCCTCCCACAGTCAGCTAAACTCAATGACACAATTTTTTTTTTCTTTAAACTTTCTTTCATTATTCTTACCTATGGATTCTGTGCTTGCAATCGAGTCCTTAATAAAGTATAAATAAAATAAACTAATACCTGGTGTCATTCAGTAAACACAACGACTCATGAAAACTCCTGTTGCAAATGATGTGACCACAACATTATAAGTCAGTGCAGCTTGATGATCAAGGCAGAAGAAGAGAAGGAGTTTGTGTTAGAGAATGGAGAGGAGCAGGCCAAAGAGGGAGAGGAGCAGGTCAGAGAGAGAGGAGCAGGTCAAAGGGAGAGAGGAGCAGGTCAAGGAGGGAGAGGAGCAGGTCAGAGAGGGAGAGGAGCAGGTCAGAGAGGGAGAGGAGCAGGTCAAAGAGAGAGAGGAGCAGGTCAAAGGGAGAGAGGAGCAGGTCAAGGAGGGAGAGGAGCAGGTCAAAGAGGGAGAGGAGCAGGTCAAAGAGAGAGAGGAGCAGGTCAAGGAGGGAGAGGAGCAGGTCAAAGAGAGAGAGAGGAGCAGGTCAAAGGGAGAGAGGAGCAGGTCAAGGAGGGAGAGGAGCAGGTCAAACAGAGAGAGAAGCAGGTCACGGAGCGAGAGGAGCAGGTCAAAGAGGGAGAGGAGCAGGTCAAACAGAGAGGATAAGCAGGTCAAAGAGGGAGAGGAGCAGGTCAAAGAGGGAGAGGAGCATGTCAAAGAGGGAGAGGAGCAGGTCAAAGAGGGAGAGGAGCAGGTCAAAGAGGGAGAGGAGCAGGTCAAAGAGGGAGAGGAGCAGGTCAAAGAGGGAGAGGAGCAGGTCAAAGAGGGAGAGAAGCAGGTCAGAGAGGGAGAGGAGCAGGTCAGAGAGGGAGAGGAGCAGGTCAAAGAGAGAGAGGAGCAGGTCAAAGGGAGAGAGGAGCAGGTCAAGGAGGGAGAGGAGCAGGTCAAAGAGAGAGAGAGGAGCAGGTCAAAGAGGGAGAGGGAGCAGGTCAAGGAGGGAGAGGAGCAGGTCAAAGAGAGAGAGAGGAGCAGGTCAAAGGGAGAGAGGAGCAGGTCAAGGAGGGAGAGGAGCAGGTCAAACAGAGAGAGAAGCAGGTCACGGAGCGAGAGGAGCAGGTCAAAGAGGGAGAGGAGCAGGTCAAACAGAGAGATAAGCAGGTCAAAGAGGGAGAGGAGCAGGTCAAAGAGGGAGAGGAGCATGTCAAAGAGGGAGAGGAGCAGGTCAAAGAGGAAGAGGAGCAGGTCAAAGAGGGGAGGAGCAGGTCAAAGAGGGAGAGGAGCAGGTCAAAGAGGGAGAGGAGCAGGTCAAAGAGGGAGAGAAGCAGGTCAAAGAGGAAGAGGAGCAGGTCCAAAGAGGGGGAGGAGCAGGTCAAAGAGGGAGAGGAGCAGGTCAAAGAGGGAGAGGAGCAGGTCAAACAGAGAGAGAAGCAGGTCAAAGAGGGAGAGGAGCAGGTCAAGGAGGAAGAGGAGCAGGTCAAAGAGGGAGAGGAGGAGGTCAAAGAGGGGGAGGAGCAGGTCAAACAGAGAGATAAGCAGGTCAAAGAGGGAGAGGAGCAGGTCAAAGAGGGAGAGGAGCAGGTCAAGGAGGGAGAGGAGCAGGTCAAAGAGGGAGAGGAGCATGTCAAACAGAGAGAGAAGCAGGTCAAAGAGGGAGAGGAGCATGTCAAAGAGGGAGAGGAGCAGGTCAAAGAGGAAGAGGAGCAGGTCAAAGAGGGGGAGGAGCAGGTCAAAGAGGGAGAGGAGCAGGTCAAAGAGGGAGAGGAGCAGGTCAAAGAGGGAGAGAAGCAGGTCAAAGAGGAAGAGGAGCAGGTCAAAGAGGGGGAGGAGCAGGTCAAAGAGGGAGAGGAGCAGGTCAAAGAGGGAGAGGAGCAGGTCAAACAGAGAGAGAAGCAGGTCAAAGAGGGAGAGGAGCAGGTCAAGGAGGGAGAGGAGCAGGTCAAAGAGGGAGAGGAGCAGGTCAAAGAGGGAGAGGAGCAGGTCAAAGAGGGAGAGGAGCAGGCCAAGGAGGGAGAGAAGCAGGTCAAAGAGGGAGAGGAGCAGGTCAAAGAGGGAGAGGAGCAGGTCAAAGAGGGAGAGGAGCAGGTCAAAGAGGAAGAGGAGCAGGTCAAAGAGGGAGAGGAGCAGGTCAAAGAGGGACAGGAGCAGGTCAAACAGAGAGAGGAGCAGGTCAAAGAGGGAGAGGAGCAGGTCAAAGAGGGAGAGGAGCAGGTCAAACAGAGAGAGAAGCAGGTCAAAGAGGGAGAGGAGCATGTCAAAGAGGGAGAGGAGCAGGTCAAAGAGGAAGAGGAGCAGGTCAAAGAGGGGGAGGAGCAGGTCAAAGAGGGAGAGGAGCAGGTCAAAGAGGGAGAGGAGCAGGTCAAACAGAGAGAGAAGCAGGTCAAAGAGGGAGAGGAGCAGGTCAAGGAGGGAGAGGAGCAGGTCAAAGAGGGAGAGAAGCACGTCAAAGAGGGAGAGGAGCAGGTCAAACAGAGAGAGAAGCAGGTCACGGAGGGAGAGGAGCAGGTCACGGAGGGAGAGGAGCAGGTCAAGGAGGGAGAGGAGCAGGTCAAACAGAGAGAGAAGCAGGTCACGGAGGGAGAAGTCAAAGAGGGAGAGGAGCAGGTCACGGAGGGAGAGGAGCAGGTCAAGGAGGGAGAGGAGCAGGCCAAAGAGGGAGAGGAGCAGGTCACGGAGGGAGAGGAGCAGGTCAAGGAGGGAGAGGAGCAGGCCAAAGAGGGACAGGAGCTTGACAAAGAGGGAGAGGAGCAGGTCAAACAGAGAGAGAAGCAGGTCAAAGAGGAAGAGGAGCAGGTCAAGGAGGGAGAGGAGCAGGTCAAGGAGGGAGAGGAGCAGGCCAAAGAGGGAGAGGAGCAGGTCAAAGAGGGAGAGGAGCAGGTCCAAAGAGGGAGAGGAGCAGGTCAGAGAGGGAGAGGAGCAGGTCAAAGAGGGAGAGGAGCAGGTCAAACAGAGAGAGAAGCAGGTCAAAGAGGGAGAGGAGCAGGTCAGAGAGGGAGAGGAGCAGGTCAAAGAGGGAGAGGAGCAGGTCAAAGAGGGAGAGGAGCAGGTCAGAGAGGGAGAGGAGCAGGTCAAAGAGGGAGAGGAGCAGGTCAAAGAGGGAGAGGAGCAGGTCAAGGAGGGAGAGGAGCAGGTCAAGGAGGGAGAGGAGCAGGTCAAAGAGGGAGAGGAGCAGGTCAGAGAGGGAGAGGAGCAGGTCAAAGAGGGAGAGGAGCAGGTCACATTTGACTCTTGAAACACACATATCATCACCATGACATCCGTGTCTTAATCAGCGATGGGACTAACTGCATTGTTACTAACGCCGTTACTTTTTTCAATAACGAGTAACATAACTAATTACTTTGACTGTAACGCAGTTATCATTGCCGACACCCCGTTACTGCACGTTACTCAAGTCGCACAATGAACTTTTATTTAACTTCATGATAAAACTCGTGCGTGTTGTCATGAGAGAAGGGAGGATGAGAACCTCTCAGCGGTGATTGGCTGATGTATAGTGAGATTACGTCTTCAGCCAATCAGAGACATTGGGTAGGTGGGTGTTTCCGCATTCAGTGGCCGGTGTTTAATGCTTACAGCACACAGGGAGAGATGGAGTGGGGACTCCTGCAGCAAAACAGCCTTTTCCAGATGGAAATATCGGCACTATTTCAAACTCACTGAGGTTAAAGGTGAAAATGTTGCAGGCCTTGAGCGGTATTGTGGTGTCAGAGTTTTCTTTTGAGCATATGAGCGACTGTGATGGCCGGTTTAAAAAAAGACTGTGAGGTTGTGTGTGCGTAGCAGTATTTTGTGTTTAGAGTTTTGTGAAATGTCAGGGATCGTGAAATGTGTTAAAGCAATATAGAAAAGCTGTAAATGGACAATGCTAATCTGCTAACAACATAGACTGTATATAAATGGACAATGCTAATCTCCCATTAGTGCTAACGGACAATGTTTTGCTTCATCTCGCTCTGGCTCCTATTGACTTTTCTCACTCAGTTTGTGTCACACTCACCATTTAATCATTGAAAATAATAATGAAAAGTGTTGAGGTCTAGTTCATAGATTTATCAGTCAAAGAAATTACCTGGCGCTCTGTGAATTGGGTGGTCGCTCTGACTGCCACCCCCCCAACCGAGAGATAGATTAAGGGGAAGAAATTGGGTGCATGGATAAATTACACACAGCGGCTTCTGGGTTTAAAATAACCCACAGAACACAAAAAGTGAATCAGCTCTCTGCTAAACTGTAACTCGCAGAACTCTTTCTTTCAGGTAAACAGAATGAGATAACAATAAAGATAAGTTTTCTATTTAGATGTGTCTGATTTGTTCATAACACAAGACTCTTCAGTTGAACAAAAGAAAAAGTTCCCTCTAAAAAGCCGCGTAAACAGGAGGAGAACGAGGAACGATAGAGTTTTGTTTCTTTGTTTAGAGCCATGTTTACATCGGGCGTCTGGAGAGCATCAGCAGAGCCACTACAATCACTTTGAAGCAACAACATTTAAAAGAGAGGAGAGTTCTGGGAAATGATTTTAGACAAAGAAGTGATGTAATAATTATGAAATGGTTTTGGACGCTCAAAGACGCTTCATCATTCATTCACTCCAAACACTGTGATGATAGGATACTGCTGCAGCCACAATCAACGAATTAATATAAGGGTTATTATACAAATGTCTTAAGGGTTTGGGTTAAGATGCAAACATGTTTCCTTTTATTATTGTCATTGTCTAAAAACAACAGTATTTTGTCTTTGCTTCTCTCACTGATGTCCTGCTCCTAGTCTCTGTTTTACATTCTGCTGGTTTCTCTCTCTCTGTGCTGAGGC